AGAGAGAGATGAGAGTAGTAGAGAGAGAGAGAGAAATGCAATTCTAACTAGGGGGTGCATGCCTCTTTCATTGAATATACATGTATATCCTATTTTGCAAATATGCCCTAGACTATAATAATTATGGCATCATAATATAAAACAGAATATGTATTGACTTCAGCTGAAATTGAATACATATTCTCTATGCATTTTTCACTGAATGTGTCCTTTCTTAGCATTCTGTCATTTTCTGAAAGAACTGCAGAGAATATTCAATTGAACAACAGTTATAAGATTAATGGAAAGCCAATCACAATTGGATATTACTTCATTTATTGAACTGATTTCACGTGGATCCACTAGGTGAAATTGGAGGTTGATGGTTTACTGTGAAGGCTTATTTGGAGACTGGTAGTATTTGTATGTACTCAGGTCTATTATACAAACTACGGAACTTTGGACTACAAGGCCACAAAGATTAGAATTTCTATTCTTGCAAGAGATAATTTTTCTTATTTGCTAAGTCGACTGATGATCATTAGCTGTGGATCTACCTGAAGTAGAAAGACGACTAAGAGATTGTGTCACCTGACTGGTTGTTTTCTATGGGTGCCTTCAAATGGAATTGCATTGGCTAAAACAGACCATAGTTGGGGATATCGTGGGGGTAATGCCACGGTTCCACCTTAAGAACTCGATCTCACGGTTCCTCTAAGGGATCTTTTATGGATATGGGTTTAGGGGGATACGGATCTCGCTAGCTATTAAAAAGGATCTCAGTCTACATGCTTGTAGGATCCCTTCAAGGAGAGGAGCTATGAAAGGAGTGGCTATGTGGAACTCAAGGTATTAAATTCAAAATATTTTCTTTTACATTTATTCAATGTACCTGAATTCCACCTACATGGGCTGTTATATGTTGCTGTAGATTGAAATGATATCCTAGATACAACATATGATTTTTATTTTTACTGCCAAAAGAAATAGTAACCATCCAAGAGCTTTAAACAAACTTCCACTATAATTTTTAGTACAATACAAGTTCCTGAAAATTCACATAAAATAAGAAATAATACTGAAAATTAATTAAAACTATAGGGAAGACTTATTGGAAGATGTCTGGAGTTACCTTCACGGGTCTTGGTACAACCCCAACCGATTCCCTAACCAATGGAGCACTTTTACTCCTTTAGGTGTTGCTGGAATTTTGAGATAGAGAAGCTTTGTAGGCAATTCTTCTTTTTCAAGGATTTTAGAGAGCTCAAAACTCAACTAGGGTTTGTAGAAACCCTATGGAAACAAATTAGGGTAGCGCTTGAGGGTTTATTTCTCTCTTGGTTTGCAGTACTTCCCTTTTTCTTCAAAAATCGGCAAACCTCACTTAGGGTTTGAAAGTCCCACCTTTCTTGTTTTATTATCTTTAATAGAAGCCCACTCAAATAAGAGAAGAAAGAGGGTGGTGTGGCTCTCTCTTAGGCAAGAAGAGAGGGTCACGTGGTTTTAAATTTGAGAAAGTGAGAGAAAAATATGGCGTGAGGGAGAGAGAGAGAAAACTTAGAGAGAGAGGAATTGGGGCGTAAGGGAGGGAGACCTTGTTGTGTAGAGAGAGTGGGTTCAAATTTTAGAAACAAAATCTATTACCAATTTGGAATAGGATTTGAATCTAAGTATGCTTCATCCAATTTTCTGCTTGACCTTTTGAATAATTAGGAAATCCGTAGGGTGAGAGAGGTTTAATCAGAGCCATCCATCCCACAAATCTGCCATCATGATTTTGGGTGGAAAATAAGGACCTTATCTCCTTAGATTTTGGCCCAAATTCAACTTCTATTTAAATTTGAAATACAATCAAACTCTATCATTATCTAGATCTCTCATAATCAAGATGATCTACATTTTAAAACTCCCATATATATGAAACCAAATCTACTTTAAATTAAAGATATTTCCTATCTTAACTAGTTTTAAATTTTAAAAAATAATACGAAAGCATGGGGCTAATCCTTGTTCATAGAAAAGTGGCGTGTACCACATATTGTTTAAAATAAATTGGGCGTGTCCCACAAGGGGTGGCACGTGGTCCCCACAAAAAAAAACGCACACATGTGGGGCTGGATCCTTGGTCCCACAAGTGTTATTTCAAGTTCTTCAAATTTCAGAAATACCCTTTTGATGGATATTACAGTTGAAAAATATTTTAAAATTCTCAAAAATATTTAAAAATCATAAAAATATTTTTTATATCAAAATAAAATATACTTGGAGTGGATTGGTACCAATGGGTCAAAAATAGTGATAATAAAGGTACTCTACTTGCCCCAAAAACCATGATGCACTATTGTTTTCTTATCCTGCCCAACAAAGACCTATGTATCATTGTAGGGGCTCATGATTGGCTTGTTGAAGTTGGTCAATAAACAGTGGGATCATGATCCTGGAATGTGGATTTTAGTTCCCCCTTTAAGAGCAAGTCTTGCACTTGTCACCACAATGTAAAAAGGGCTTTCTCTATGCACATTTACACGTGTCCTTCTGTAGGGTTGTTATGATATTATTAAACGGCATTATTGTTGTGAATTGGAGTATTATAACCATATCAATGGTAATAAGCTAAGGTTTATGACAATGGATCAAACGGGCATTGGCTCGATCCTAATTTTATCATATGCTATTAATTGATCTCATTTTATGTATAGTGTAGCTTAGATCCCTCTAAAGTCAAAATCTCTATCTCAGTAACATGGGATCTCGTTCCCAAGTATCCTAGGGTTTAGCTCATTAACTTGTTGAATGTACGGATGTTGATCCTAACCCTAAGAACATTGACGTCTGCATCATATGAATGATATGGATTTTAACATACTTATTGTTAACATATGATTTCTCTAAGATGACTACAATATCTAAGTAGAATTGGTAGGTATGGACTAAAAGATTTCTCTAAGATGACTACAGTTTCTAGATAGAATTGGTAGATATAGCTATTCCATATTGGAGACCTTTCATTTACCGCTACATCACAATATTGGTCTCTGCTTGTTCAACGCAGATGGGTTTTCTTTACGTAATGGTCTTTACTTTGTTGCTCTTCTGTATAATGAAAGCTCAGGAGAAGTGGAAAATGCTACCATTTTTGGGTATGGGTATGGAGCAATGTCAACCATAGGTGGAGAGATAATATATCTCAGATATATAATTCATGACTTGACACTAGCTCTAGTGAAACAATGAGGGCTTGACCTGATGGCATGCATGAAATAAATGTCAGCTTCTATGTGATAATTTATCTGTAGTTCCATAGAGACAGGACAGATCCTGAAGTGGCATTCGAGGACCTAGAAAAATTCTGCAAATTTAGTTGCTATAAATCTAACTAGTGCCTATGTTCACATTACAAGCCCTTTCATGGGTTTGAATTGCTGCTTTGTCACTTGGAAACGAGGAGTTGTCCTTTTTATAGACAAACTGCATATGTGAAAACGTTCAGCTTCAAACTGTGACAATTTGTCCTATAGTTCGGTAGATATAGCAGCAATTCTGGAAGTGGCATTTGGGGACGTAGGAATATTCTGCAAATTTACCGTAATTCTCAACTTCTTCCTATGTTCACATTACTAATCTTCTCAGCTATGGATTTGCTTTTCTGATGCTCGCTTAGATGGGCTTACTTGTGTGCATTTATTTATTTTTGCTGTGGTTGACCCCTAGCTTTTCAAGCCTGGAAGCTCCAAAAATCTCCTGCAAAGGGATTAAGAATATCACAGCATGATTTGGAGCCTTACCAGCTCTTTAAATTTTTGTCATCATGGTCATACACATTGCTTGATATTTGTTTCGAATTTTTTATGTATTTTGTTTCGAATTATTTAGGCATTGTAGTGGGCACCTTATGGCATTTTTAGCATGGTTCCATACAAAAATTTTACCCAAATCTTCTGTCATGGTTTTACAACATATACTGAAAATTCTGTTTTTTCTTGGAGCAGATTGATCGTACAAAATGCAGATATGAAGTATTGTTGACTAAAATTGAAATCCGCCTCTCAAAGGTTGAACGTGTCAATTGGAGTTCATTAGAATACAAGAAAGACACTAGCACTCCGTACAAGCTCAATACAACATCAGGTAAAATACTTAAGCAGGATATCAATAAATGAATTAGGCAGTTTTTTTCCCCTTTTAATGAATTATTTTTGTAGGATTTTATGATATTAATGTGATTGCTCAAAAAGTTATGCTGAGTTATATCATTAAGTGACACATTCAGTGCCTCCTATTAAGTTTGTTGGCCCTAATTACTTTTGACAAAGCACCTTGTTTTAATTACTATTGTGCTTGAAAATTTATAGAGCTAATCCTGTTTCAGTTATTATGATTCCTTTCTAGAACTTGTAAACCTTAAAAAATTTTTAAATTATATCATCATCATCATCCAAGCTTTATCCCAACTACTTGGGGTCGGTTACACAAATCCAATTTTTCCATTTCTCTCTATTGAGGGTCATACCCTCATACCATAAGTTACTATATGTTTTGTCACTACTTCTATGTATGTCCTTTGGGGCCTTTCTCTTGCCCTTTTAGGCCAGTTTACTTGGACCAAATTACCCTCTTAACTGGTGTTGTTCTAGGTCGATGCTGCGCATGAGCAGATCACCAAAGTCTACTTGCCTTATTTTATCACCTATTGGAGCTACCCTTAAGTTCCCTCGGTTGTCTTCATTTTGAATTCTATCATTCCTTGTCTTTTCAATTATCCCTCTGAATATTCTCAACCTCCTCTCAACTTTATTCATTCTATGGATAACTGTTGTTTCGTGACCGGCAAACATTCTATCCATAAAGCATAATTGGTCTTTTAACCCTCCTTTAGAAACTTCCTTTTGAGTTTCATTACTATGACGATCACATATGACTCCAGAAGCATTTCTATTTCATCCACCCAGCTTTTGTTCTATGAGCAACATCTTCCTCAATCTCTCATTTCTCATGGATTATGGAATCAAGATATAGAAAATAACTCTTTTAGGTACTTTGCCATCAATACTAACTAAATTTCTTCGTTTCTGCTCCTATTATTACGAAACTTACATTCCATGTATTCCATCTTAGTCCGGCTATTTTAAAACTTTTAGATTCTAATGCATCTTTCCAAAGTTCTAACGTTGTGTTTATGCTGTCTCTAGTTTCATTAATGAAAATTATGTTATCCGCAAGCAACACACACCACGGGAACTCATCCTATAGATGCCTTGTTAACTTGCCCATAAGCTAAGCAAAGGGATATGAGTTTAACACCGACCCTTGATATATGCTTATTATAATTGAAAACTCATTTGTCTCTCTAGTAGTTTTCCTTACATTAGTTACGCTCCCTTGCTCGCTTGTACATATCCCTCATGATGTCGATATATCCTCTTGAGACTCCTTTCTTTTCTAGCGCCCACCAAATCATCTCTCTATATATCCTCATATGCTTTCTCTGAATCAATAAAGACTATGTAAAGGTCTTTTCTCTCTCCCTAAATTTCCAAATCAATTGTTTAAGTAGGAAAATAGGCTCAATGGTTAACCTAGTTGGCATAAATCTGAACTGATTTTCTAATACATCCTCTTCACTTCTTAGTCATGGCTCAATCACTCTCTCCTACAATTTCATAGTGTGACTCATAAGTTTGATCCTTCGATAGTTCCTACAACTCTATGTAAGTACCATGATAATTTTCCTTGATTCGTCCCTCATATACTTTGTTCTCAAAATATTATTGAACATCTTGGTCAATCAGAATATGCAATCTCTCCCATGCACTTCCAAGCCTCGATTGGTGTACCATATGATCCTAAAGCTCTTTCTATCGTCATCCTTCTCAATGCCTTTTTCACTTCAAATATTCTAATCCGATGAGAGTATCGGTAACCTCTAACCTCATTTATGTCAATGGTTTCTCCTAATTGTGAGCTCCTAGTGTGGTCATTGTTTAACAATTTCTGAAACTAGATTTTTCACCTTGCATTTTTTTTTTTTGAGTAAAAGATTTTTCACCTTGCATTGACCTCTTCATCTTTCACCAGCACCATCTGATCTTCATTCTTAATGCATTTAACGTTATCTAGGTCCCTACACTTCCTCTCTCATTGAAGACATCTTTTTCACATTCTCTTGTCCCAATTTATTGTATAGATCATCATATGCCTTAAGCTTAACCTCTATTTTCTTAGCGTTCCTCGTAGTATTTGTATGTTCTTCTAAATTCTGATCATATCTACCCTTACCATGCTATAAACTATAAAAAATTACTGTAAAAATTAATTAATTATATCAACTATAAAAAATTATTAAGTTATGGCCACAAAAACTTTCCTAAAGCATGCTTTAGATGAATTATGGAATATTTAGTGCCATGTACAAGATGAATGGGAGCAAAGCTTCAGTTCTTCTCTACCAGTCTCAAATATTTGGACTGCGTGAGATGAGGTGTGATAAACCATCCTTGAGATTATGGCGACAATTCAAAGCTTCTAGAGGGGTGATTGCTCATTAGAATAGTGGTTGCTCAATCTTGTTGACTTCTAAAAATAATTATCTGCTTGTCTCCACCGTCATCATGTTGTGGTCAATTCTCATTTGCCTGCATCTAACAGTTGGCAACTCAATGGATGTGTGATGGATCACTTCTAAACAAGCACATTCTCTATGATTGGGTTGGTGATAGATATTAATCAGTTGGTTAAAATGATTAGATTGCTCTTGCAACTCTATAATGACCAAGTCGTACATATGCAACCTATAACGACCATGTTGTACATATGAACAATATTTTGCCTGTTCCCACATGATGTAAAATACCCACATATTCTACAAATTGCTCCCCTTAAATTGACAGTATGTGATAAGCCGTTGATATCAACACGTCCCTCACTGTGCTTGAAAGGGAGTGGTAATGTAGAATTCCAAGCTACATTTTCTTTCTTTTTCTTTTATTAATTGCTGAAAATTATACTTCTAGGTGTCACAATCACAATAAAATATACCTACTACAATCTAAGATCGTAATATCTTACTGCCAAGAATAAACTTTATTCAAACTGAAAAAACTTAATAACTTTAGGAGATAAAATAAGCAAGATCAATGGTAAATAAAACTACATAAATATGGAAAGAATTGTTGACTTTTGCAATGGTTTCCCCCTTAGGGCTCAGCACACTCCACACCCAATCATGTGACCAATGGCACAATTGATGCTAGAACCTGTTGAATCCACCAATCTGAAATTAGGAAGCACCTTTGGGACTCGCTTTCTGAAATATATGGGGCAAGAGAGCTAGGGTTACAACTAGGGTTTCACTAAGAACTGCTTTTGAACCAACATGATTGGTGAATAGAAAAGGCTCAACGGCAGTCAAGGTTGCAAAGGGGGGAAGGAGGAGCATACAAAAGGGGATTTTCAGTTTTGATATAAATTGAAGTTCCCAAACCCTGTACTTATAGATTTGAAACTTCCTTTTGAGACTTGATTACTAGAAACATCGTAAGTTAAGTTTGACCATCGGAAATCTAAGTGATAGTTTGAGATTTTAAAAAATAGGGAGTTTTGAAATTTTGAAAATCCCAAGAGCCACATTTGTTGATCCTGGATGAGTGGCCTTCAAAATCCCAAACTGGATACCTCACGTCATATGTGCATTTACCAATCCACATGTGGAACTTTTGTGTCGTGTTTTTTTTTTCTTGGGGATGGAGGGCAGGGGAGGGGCAGGCATCTGTTTAGAGTGTGTTCTTGAATCACACTAAGCTTGAAAACCATAATGATGGTCAAAATGTGGGATACAATATCTGTGATTTGGCACTCATGGAATCAAAGGAAATAAGCATATTGAAATAATTCAGAGATGACCAGAAGGTAAAAAATCGTTATGGAATTCAAATTCTCGCCATAAAATAGCAATTTCGATCAAATTTGGGTCACTGCAGCTTGAAAAGGCTCAACCGTGGTAAAAAAATTAAGACTTGTCTTCGTATCCTGGCCAATTTTTTATAAACTTGAGTCCAAATCTACCAAAACATATTTGCATGTATATAAAATGCACTTAAATGATAAATACCTTTTATACGGAGAGAACACCATTTAACATTTTACACATTTGATACTATCTCAACTCATGATCATGTGTCTTTTTTTTGGGTATTTTGAATTGGAATCAAATAATCTGGGTACAATGTTAATAGTTCATCTCACATGGGTGTGTTCTCATAATTTCCCTTGTAAATTTGAGCAAAAAGCTCAGAGATAGGAGCTTCATCCTTATCTGCAGTGAAAAGATGTGGAAGGGATGTATTTTCATATATTCCAGCACAGGGGACACATATTTGGCCACAGAAATTCAGAGAGAAAACATTGAGAGGAAAAGCATTTTAGATGCAATCCATAGAAGAACAATATATTTAGAAATTGTCGTATGAGAGAAAACATACTGAGAGGAGACTTAAATAGAGGAAAGAGAACAAGCATCATGCATGCTATTTAAAGTTACTCTTTCATTTTCCTTCGAAGTATATCTGCAATTCAATGTATTCAAGGAATCAAAGGTGTTTTAGTTCAAATTATGTCATCATCATCCAAGTCTTATTCCAACTATTTGGGGTTGGCTACATGAATCATATTCCGCTATTCTACTCAAATTATGTAACTAGATGCAATTAACTGAGCATCTTTTTATTTTTATTTATTTATTTATTTTTTTGGGTAGTTCAGTGGGGAAGGAGTCCCCTACCCATTGTAGGAAGGAACTCAAGACGTCATGTTATGGCACCCACCACCCTAACTACCTATGCCTTGAGCCCACTCCTTAAGTAACTGAGCATTTATTTGTGCTTAGATATCTATATACATGAGTTATATATATAAGAGGCCCAAAATGGGTGAATTTGTGTTTATTATGGATTCTGAGTTCTTTCCTTTTTGAAGTTAGAATGCAATTTTCAAGCAAACACTGAGTCCCAACATAGTGTGCCAGTTATTGGATTGTCATGCTCAGAACCCTATATTTGGCATTTGATGAAGCATTTCATATCTTATGCTTGAGGCTGACTCAAGTGATCAGCTTTTACTTAATGCTTATGTCTTTTCTTTTTTGTATCAATGTTGATTTTGTTCTTATTGGTTGATTTGCAGAAATAAAATCTGTGAGACCTGCGTACCCCTCGTCAAGACGGAGCACTGATTGGGATAAGGTGGAAGCTGAAGTCAAAAGGGAGGTCTGTCAGATGTTTGTTTTGGTTCTTTCCTCTGTATTTTACCTTATCTAAGATTTATTTGCTCATGGACTAACCTAGTCAGTAGAAGCTTCTTAACTGGAATTTTTTTTTTTTTGGTGATGTTTTTTATTATTTATCCGAGGTTTCAACTTTTGGTTTATAGGAGAAAGAAGAGAAGTTGGACGGGGATGCAGCTGTCAACAAATTGTTCCGTGAAATCTATAGAGATGCTGATGACGATGCTAAACGTGCAATGCAAAAATCATTTGTAAGATACCAACCTCTGTGAAATGTTTCTTGTGCCACACTGGAACTGGCTGTCTTTATATATTTGGTGGCTTCTTCATTTTAATTTTGTCAAATGGAAGGTTTCTGTGTATTTCCAAAACTATAAGACCTGATCCAATTTGCAAGTGAACTCCCAAGAAAAGAAAAAAGAAGAATTTCTTTATGTAGAAAAAGAGAAAAAGAAATAGTCCTATGTAACTTGAGGGTCAATTGAGATGCAGTTTCCCTTGTTCTTTTGCAGTTGGAATCAAATGGCACCGTGTTGTCAACAAATTGGAAGGAGGTTGGTACGAAGAAGGTTGAGGGCAGTCCTCCGGATGGTATGGAGCTAAAAAAGTGGGAATACTGAATTCAACTTACAATTTTTATCCCAACTGTGATTGCTGCTTTGAGACCCCATGAGTGCATGTCAATTGTTTTGGTGGGAAATAGTCTTAGTTTTGCGTGTTGATAGCCCAATCTTGGTTACTGCCAGAACAGAACTTGTATTATATCTCTCATGTACTTTTGCTTTTCTGTTTTCCTTTTGTTTTGGATATTCTTGGGTGTCCTCCTGGGTGTTGACGCACATTATTTTATTAGTTCCTCTTTTCTTTAATGGCTTTATGTTAACGGTTCAGTTTGGGTTTTATTTGCACACTAGGTCTGTGTTTGATTGTTTGTGGATAGAGCTGATCCTAGAAACCAACTTTCCAATCAACCTCGTGCTTGATTCCAAATTTCCAGATTTGATCTTGTATTGGATTAGTATTATAATGTTCATATGCACACGCAAACAGCCAACTGGACATCTAAACCTCATGTCATGTTCATTTGAGTGCATTTGGTGATGTTTCAGTTGATGTATTGGAAGGATATTATTATTTGTATTCTATGAGCATGTTGTTTCTAAAAATGGAGTGTGAAACACATCTGGCTTCCATGAACATTTGTATGTTACATTTTCATGATTTTGGTCTATGAAGTTGTTCAAATGCTTTTCATAATCAAAAGAAGAAAAACAAAACGATGCAACATCTATTTAAGGGTATAATACAAGATTCTTAAGAGTTTCTCTAAGGCAACGATGAATTTGTACTGCTAGAAGGCACACAGTTTGTAATGGCCCTGGATATTGAGCCGGTAAGTGCTGTCATCCATTGTAAGCACCGATTTTGATGACTGCCATGATGATAAACTGATTGAGGGTTGGGGAAATATGCAACCCATCAAAGAGTGGTGTTTGGAACTTTGCTGGTCTGATTCCAAGCTCGAAATCTAGTTTGCTGCAAACCCTTTTCAGTATGGATGCTGTTAGCACGAGGGTTAAGCCCACGCATGTAGAAATGAAGCTTGGCAATAAATATATTTTTTAAATATAATTTGATCCTAGTTTTAGAGAATATATAATATCTAACAGGGACATAATGAATATGAAAAAATAAATAAAAATTGAAACTAGAAATAATAATTATATTAAGAAAAAATTTGGATCTACAGTTACAATTGTTTTAAGATGGATTGCCTATTTACGTCTCTTTAAGATGGATGCTTTATATCTATGGACCACATATTGTAGAACTGTTGTCCAGCCAGCATGAAACAGTTGTTCTTTTAGTATTACTATGAGCTGTGCGGTTTCATGGCAAACCTCAATTTGATGCAGAATCATGTAGAAAATTATTAGCAAAATTTAATTGAGTGGATTGAGTCGTTTGAGTTGCTAACAATGTCTGATTGAATATAATCTTCGTGCTACTGAATGGTTTTTTCCTTCCTTTTCTTCGTAATGTTAAAAAAAAAAAAGAAAATCGTTTTTTATCCTTCGTAGCTGCACTGGGGCGACTATATTTTGACTTAAGGTCCATGAATGAAGGAAAAAGTTTATTTAAGGTTGCTACCTTATAATATAGAGCTACATATGCCCCTCAAAAATCCATCGGAAAAGTTAGTTTTAATGTTGAAAATCTTTTGATTGATCATCTTGTCATCGAGATGTATGACTATGAAAAGTAAACTTACAACATATTCTCTACGCTTCCATTTTCAAAATTTTCATATATTTATAGATCTATTTCCATTTAATCATTTTTAAAATTTAAAATTTTATAATTAGATATAAAAATAGATTTTGAGATAATCCTAAGAACATTTTACGACAAAATTATATACCATGATAAAATTTAAAGATGTACTTTACCTCTACACCTATGGCCTATCGATGCATCCGTATGCAAACTGCACCCATGAATGAATGGCTTCGAATTGGATCTTGTTAATTACCTATCTCTTAGTATGGTGTGCTAGCTTGTGGATTGTAGTTTTAATTGTTATAAATAATCAATTAGGTTAGGAATTACTGAAAATATAAATTATAACACGTCCACCCCTTTTCTTCCAAGGTAGGTTAGGTTATCAAGAGGGAATGCAGTTTCAAGGTTCAAACCGTTGTCCTCTTGCTAGGATTTCCGAATCCATAAGGTAATGATCATTCTCATATTATAGGATACCTTTTCCTTTAATATAGTGATTATAAAAGTGCAAGCTTTTATGCTTCTCTTACAACATAGAAGTTTTATCCTCTCTTTTATCCAACCGTCCATTCTGAATAGAGGGCTAAGATTGCCCCAATCACAATATCACGTCCCTACACTATTTTATTTTTAATTTTTTTCTACAAACTATTTTGATACCAAATTTTGGACCTCCATTCCTCTATTAAACTTGCACTAGCGAAAAATATAAAAAAATATTTTTAATAAAATAAAATGATCAAAATACCCTTCAAAGTTTGAAGGGGGTATTTTGGTGATTATATTTTATCGAAAAATTATTTTTAATATTTTTTATAGTTGCACGCCAATGAGCAGATGGTACGTACCAAATTTCATATTCATACAGTTTGTATAAAAAAAAAATTTAAAGTAAAATACTTTGATACGTCGGATCTAAAATCAAATGGTGCGTGGCTCTCTTGATCAAAATTGGACGGCTGGATGGTAGGGGGATGATAGAACTTCTATGTTGTAGGGGAAGCATAGAAACGTTTTCCATTATAAAATGTATCCACCTTATTCTTGTAATAGTTATCTTCTTTTTTTTTACAATATTTGAAACTTTATATTAATCAATCAACATATTACAACAAGATTATAAAACAATAGTTGTTATCGTTAATGTTGCACACGATCACGGTACGTTTAATCTAAAAATCTATGGGAATATGGGAACTCGGGAATCCTGTATGAATGTTTTAGTTTTCAATTGTTGGTTAAATTTGGAATACTATTATTAAATGATTGCAGAAAAATCACCTTTTGGATGTTTTTGTTTTTTACCATTTATTTGGGTTTTTTTTTTCACCACAATTAGGTGGCCTGTATAAAACGAAAAATGGGATTTTTAGGTAACACGATTCTTCTTTGTTTGAACTCCTCTCTCTCTCTCTCTAGAAAGGGGCTAGGGCTTCCTTAGGTTATGTTGAGAAAGGGAAGGAGATGAAGAAGGATTTTCTTGTCCTATTTGTTGGAAAAATTGTATGAACTTGTGTTGCTCATGTTCTTGGGTCATCCGAAATGAAGCGGGGTAAATCATGATTTTTGAATGATCACAAGAAGGTATTCTTGGTGTTGTTTTTTTTACCAATTATCTCTTTTTTAAGTAACAATGTATCCCATTGTAAATTCCTTCTTTTGATAGTGAAATACTTGTCGGCTTGCCCGTGGACGTAGTGCTACGGGGTGACCCACATTAAATTCGTGTTGTGGTTTGTCTCTTTAATTTTCTTTCATGACTATGTTTTCTATCTCTAATTTATTTTCTTAAATTATTGTACATGATCATTGAGCTTATAATTGGATTATTGATTTTACATATTTGGTATTGAGTATGTGATATTCGGTGATCTGTTAAATTGGGGTTTCGGGTGTTCAGATCTCTAACAAGTGGTCTCAGAGCTTTATGCAATATATTTATAGAATGACAAGTAATTGGTTTGAGGTCGAGAAATTTGATGGACAAAATGATTTTGAGATATGGAAAATTTATGTTCATGATCTTTTGGTCCAACAAGGATTATACAAAACATTACTCGTAAAAGAAAAGAAATAGGAGTCTATGAGTAATGAGGATTGGGAGGAAATGGACCTTAAGGCTATGATTACAATTCGATTATGCCAAGCAAATAAGGTTTTATTCAATATAATTGGAGAGAAGACGGCAAAGAGCTTGTGGGAGAAATTGGAAACTATTTATCAAAACAAATCTCTTATGAACTGTATTCTATTAAAGAGAAAATTGTTTAGTTTAAGGATGAAGAGGGGACAATTGTTTCTAATCATTTGAACACTTTCAATAACATTATTTGTGAACTTGATAGTGTTAGTGAAAAAATGAAAAATGATGATAAGGCGGTAATGTTGCTATCTACTTTACAGAAATCTTATGATAATTTAGTGACAACATTAAGTTGCACTAAAGAAGATTCACTTGATTTAAGTACGGTGACTAGTACTTTGCTTGCCCATGAACTCTGAAAAAAAGCATCTATTGGAGAACCAGAATCGAAAGTGCATTTTTTAAGGGGTCGTGAGAGAGGTAATTCCTCTAGAAAGTTTTCTAGATGTAAGTGGAAAGGTCGATCTAAGTCTAAAGGCCGAGAAAATAAGTTTGTTTGTTGGGGATGTGGTGAAGTGGGATATATGAAAAAAAATTGTACAAAAAGAAAATGACAAAAGTTTGAAAAAGTAAGGGAAACCAATGAATCCAAAAATGAGGTGAATCAAGTAGAGGAATCTACATCTGATTTTATTAAAGAAGATGTTTATGTCGTGGGTTGTAATCCCGAATTTCATCAAAAATAGATTTTGGATAGTGGTGCTACACATTATATGTGTCCACACAAGTCATGGTTTAGTTCATATGAACCATGTGAATGTGGTTCCGTGTTGATGGGAAATAATTCAACTAGTAGAATGGTTGGGATTAGTACGGTAAAATGAAGGATGTATGATGGAAGTATCCGCACACTTGAGCATGTTCGACATGTGCCGAACTTGAAAAAAAGTTTAATTTCTCTTCTTTATTAGATTCCCATAGCTATAAATTCATCGGACAAAGGAGAATTCTCAAAGTATCTAAGGATGATCTTGTTGTGATCAAGGGTCTTAGAGTTGGAAACTGGTATAATGTATTGGGAAGCTCCATTATTGATGATGTGGCAAATTCGGTGGTGGAGAATAATGATCTTCCACTACACTTATGGCATAGGAGGTTGGGTCACTTGAGTGAAAAGAGTATGGAGATTTTGATGAAGAAGAAGCTAATTCCCACCTTAAAATTTAGGGAATCCGAATTTTGTGTGCATTGTGTCAATGAGAAACAACATAGATAAATTTTCAAAGCCGAAAGCCATACAAGCAAGGGAATACTTGATTATGTGCACTCGGATTTATAGGGGGTCCTCACCCATATTGTCATATGGTGGTGCATTGTATTTTATTTTATTTCTAGATGACTTCATAAGGTACGTATGAGTGTTCACTCTTAAATCAAAGAGTCATATACTTTTTGCCTTTAAGCATTTTAAGGTCGAAGTTGAGAAGAGTACGAGGAGCCTAATCAAAACATTTCGCATCGACAATGGGAAGGAGTACAATTTCGATGAGTTTACAAAATTTTGTAAAGATGAAGGAATCAAGAGACATTTCACCACGGTTTACACTCCTCAACAAAATGGTGTTGCGAAAATGATAAATCACACTTTGATGGAGCGAGCGAGAAGCATGTTGAGAAATGTCGGATTAAACCAAAAAATAT